GCGCACCCAAATTTTAGCGAAAGAGCCATTCGTACATTCAAAGATCAGTTGTATAGGCGGGTCGAAGCCGATCAAAAAAAGGGTAAAGAAGGAATTCAATGGACAGACTATATGTTTGAAATTTTGATTACATATAATAATCAGATGGTTCACTCCGCCACGGGGATGACGCCGAAAGAAGCCAGAAAAGAATCTAATGCTTTCAAGGTAAAACTGAACCTCAGCAGTAAGGCACGGCGCAATAGGATTTATCCCGAGGTTGATAAAGGAGATGAGGCTAAGATATTCAGGAAGCGAAAACCCAATGAAAAAGAGCGTGTCGGCAACTGGTCGCAAAATGTTTACACCATTGAAAAAATTGACAAGAAGGTGGGACAAAACTATTACTATGTGGAGGGACAAACGAGACCGTATTTAAGATTTGAACTTTTAAAGGTTTAGGACCGTTTTTCCAGGAAAAAGGCTTTAAAGAAATAGCGCCTTAGTATATTCGCAGGTAAATGTCAACTAAGAAAAAACAGGATGAAATAATGAATAACTTCTTGGATGTTATCAAGGTTCGCGACTGCATCAGGGAAAGTAGGGAAAAGAGGGATACATGTAAATGCAAGGATTGTAAAAACACGACCGTTATCGCACTTTACTCGAATTGTCATTGCCAGAAGAAAATGTTATTAATAATATTTACGGCGTTGCTTATCGGTGCCGTAGATGTGAAGATCGCCAAGGAAAAGAAAAAATGTTGGAGAACATTCTCAAACGGAATACAATACATCGCTATCACGTAGAAAAACATATTTTCTCAGTTAAAAATGATTTTCCCAGTTATGACTGTGCTAAAAATAATCTGTTCAAGAATTTAGCAAAAAGAAGATGATATGAACTTTTTAATGAGATATACAATGAACTTATGTTTCTTAAAGATATCAATATTTGGAATTTTATATATATGATAAGGGTTTTAAAGCAGAAACAATAACTAGGGACTTTGAAAAATCCTTGGAAGGCTAATGAACCACCCTAATATTGACTTAATGGATGAAGCAAATGACCCCCTGAGAACCTTGTTTGGTCTCTAATTTCAACCAATTATAGCAATATTAATATTACAATGTTATGGCTGGCGTCCTAAACCCCTAAAGTTTACTACACCTGAGTTGTCAAAATTGATTTTTGTGTTTTTTTTGTTTTCTGCTTGTTTGTGTATAGGGTTTTCCAATGTTTTTGTTGCTATGTTAGCGTTTTTATCGTTTTGAAGCGGTTATGTTTCAAAATTTTGGGTTTATTTTTTGTTGGATTTTTGTTTTTACGTGTTTTTAAAAATATTCCTAATAAACCCGAACCACCTAAGGCACTTGTAGTGGTAGTACCGGATCTGCCTGTCGGGCTCGGCGTTGTAGACGAAGAAAAGACTCCTCCTGAGGCAGGGCGGGTTGCCAAGGGCAGGAGATGAGGGGTTAGGGCAGGGGCTTTGCGCCACTCTCGGCACTGTTTTTCAGCGACTGGGTTCAGCCACTCTCGGTCTGTGCTTTTTGGCACAGCAGAAACGGCAATGGACATCCATACTGTGGCACAAAACTACACGGGGGAAGCCAACATCAAACCGGTGTGGTGTTGAGTTGGCGCTGTTGTGGTGCTGAGTTCGCGCTGGTCTGACGCTGAGTTCGCGATGGTGTGGTGTTGAGGAGGATTATGCTTAAGGGGCTAAGACGAGTTTGTGCCTCTCTGCCATGAAGTTTTGAAAAAAACATGGCAGTCCTTTGCTTCCTGTTTATTTGTTCTTCCAATGCTTATATGCTTTATCGATCTCCCCTTTAAGGTACAGTTCCCATGCCTGTCGTAATGCTGATTGGGTCTGCATGTAAAGATCCTCAAATCGCTTAGCCTCTTCTTCATCGGCTTTGCCGACGGAAGTGTGACCGTCTATCATGCTGTCGAGTGCAACAGAAAGTTTGGTCACTTTGTCGTCAATGGGGGACAAGTCGATTGTCATCGGGTCATACTCGTCCTGCTGCTCTTTTGCGGCGCGTACGTTCTTCGCAATTTCATTCAACTTCTTGCGATAGATATGTAGCTCCTGCCCAAGCTCCTGAAAATCCGGGTCAACAGCAGCACATGCCACACGCGTCCGTTCCTGGGACGTTGCTCTGCGCGAAGGCCCCGTTATGTAGCAGAGCTGTGTCCCCATCAGATACCACGCCACATAAATCGACGCAACAATCGCAGCGATTTGCATGGAGCTGATAGGGCAACCAGTATTCTAAAAGCTTGGTACCAAGGCTTGAGGCCAAAACGGGCTGGCGGAAATGGCAAACAATGCTCTTGGCCTAGCATGCTCTTGCAAAACATATCGCACAGCTGCGCTGTCCACACAAACTCCACACCCCATCACCAAACTGCAGCACCCGGTCGCTCCTCGGATGTCGTGGTTGTCGAGGTCGTTGTGATCGTCGGTGTTGGACACTCTGGGACGCCCTTTTGGGGTTATCTTACTTACAAATCATTAGAAGATGGCCATTTCCATTTTGGGTTCTCATGGGGTATCGGGGTGGATGATGGGTAATATGGATTTTCAAGGGGATGGGTANNGATGTTCTTATGATTCTTTGGATATTCATAGGGGGGGGTACACGAATTGTGAAAATTTGGGTGATAATGCGGGGGCTTGACGATACTATAACCTAAATGGAAATGGCCATCGCTAACTAATTATGGGAATGATGGTAATGTTAAATTCCTGCTTCTGGGTAATGCAGGATTTATATCATCAACCGTAGTTCTCGTGGTTCAACTCCCTTTCGTTTCTTTCTTGTTGAAAGAGTTTCAGAGCCATCTCGTGGGGACCCAGACAGAGACCCTTACGGTTGATGATATAAAACCTGCATTAAATATAATAACGAATATACCATAGTTCCCATAGTTTAGGGCCCTTAAGGTAATGCAGGATTTGTATCATCAACAGTATCTACAGCCGCATATATCGGAAACAAATATGTGGAAGAATAGCAAGAAAGTGGAAACCATGAGCACTGATATGCAGAAGGACATGGCTGGTTGTAGGGTACAGGTACAAGCCAATTATTAGACCCTCAACCCTAAACTCTAAACCTTAAACCCAAAATCTTAAAACCCCAAATTCCAAACCCCTAAACCCGGAACCTGAAGTATACCGCGATACAACTTCAATCCTCGAGGAAGAATCTCCCGGAAGCTTCGGCAAACCCTGCAGGCGGCCCCTGCATCTTGGAACTCCGAAGTACCCCGGCGTGTCAAGAGCTAGGGTGCTTCGGGTTTAGGGTTTAGGGGTTTAGGGGTTTTGGGGTTCAGGGGTTTTAGGGGGGTTTAGGGCTTAAGGGCTTTAGGGTTCAGGGGTTTAGGGGCTTAAGATGGTTTATGGCTTAAGCTTCGGACCTTTCTAAACCATCGCCCACTGAGCCTTCTAAGTATACCCATAGGCCCCTAAGTAGTTCCTTTTTGTGGTGTATATTTAGAATCCTATAAGGTAATCCCAAAGGAAGGGACTACTTTGGGGCCTAAGTATAATTGTACCAGAAAGCCTTCGACTAGGAGAATTGCGTAGTTCTCTAAATTAGAGTCCCTTTCAGGGTTCTGCTTGTAAGGGTGCCGTGCTATTTTGGGGGACCTAACAAGGGACCCTGACTTTGAGAACTATGCAAGTACCCCAAAATCAATCCAGCCCACATCTCGGGTTTCAGGGGTTAGGGTGTGGGGCTTGGGGTTCAGGGTACAGCAATGTACACAGAATCTCTCGGCGACGTGCGGCGCAGCCAGATGCCGCATCATCGCGTCGAACCTGAAGACACGGCTGTCAGGGCACTTACCCATAGGTCCCTAAGTAGTTCCTTTTTGTGGTTTATATCTAGAATCCTTTAAGGTAATCCCAAAAAGGAACTACTTAGGGGCCTATGGATAAAGCCCCGGCTGAAAGATCAAACGCCAGAGTCAGACCGCTCGACTCCCAAGTATATGAAATTGTGCAAACCAACAAAGTGCTGCAAAAACAAGAGAAACGAACACCAAACACCAAACCCTAGGCCCAAAGCCGCTAAGCCCCCGAAACAGAAACCCGGCCCAAAGACCAAGAAAAAACCAAGGCCCAGGATGTTTTTGTTTAAGGAACCCCCTCGTGGACCTCGGTGAGGGTTTCTTACATGAAGGAATCATTGTCAGCTCTGATTACGACAATGCGCTGATTGGGTTTCTGGCGCACGAGGAGTTTAAGAAGACTCCGCTGTGAGTCGTGGACTCTAGTACACAAAGTGCCCAAAGTGGGCTGGGGTTCAAGCTTTCGGATGGGTTTTCTTGTTGTCAGGTTAGGGTGTGAGGTTTAGGGACTACTCAATACCTTACAGAAATGAACACTCATCAACATACTGAAGGGTGTAGGCTGCTGCCGAAACAACATCCTGAGTTCACCCCAGACCTCGGAAAGAGGGTTTGGGATAGGAGGTGGAGAGCCGTAAAGCCCTAAACCCTAAACCTCTAAACCCCGAACCGTCTGTTTGGACTGGGAGGATAGAAGCGTAAAAGGAAAATGAAAAAGGCCAAGGAACTTGTTCAGCTCGCAGAGATCCCTGGCGTTGTTGAAATACTTCGGAGTTCGACACTTGCCTGGGCTTTTTGGATCTACGGCTTGGGGTTATGGAGTTTAGGGTTTGGGGTTTGCAAAAATAGGCTTTTGGGTTGTGAGATTTAGGAATTTGGGTTTGGGCTTCGTGAAGTTAGCGATAGGAATAGTTGAATCAATAGTATCCCGATTTTGTGCGTAACTCTCGAAATTAGGAGGTTTCCGGGGTTTTAGGGCGATCTGGTGGATCACCAGGGAAACTCTGTAAGAAACGTAAAGGCGGCATCGGTTTGGGTCTTTATGATAAGCCGAAAAAGCCCTAAAACAACCTCAGGATCCTAAGCCTCGTCTTCGGGGTGCGTTTTGTACGGTTTAGGGTTTAGGGTTTAGGGTTTAGGGGCCCCTCACTTTATCAAATTCCCCTCAGCGCCTCAGGATGAAAGAGGGTCAAGGCTCTACTACAGAGGCTCAATACTTAGGAGAGGATTTGTTTGCAGGGGTCCTATAAGAAAGTCACAGAGTTCAACTAGAATATGGTTTTGGGGCATGGTATAGTACAAACATATTAAGGAAACCTTGAAGAACTACTACCGAATCTAGCAATAAGATACGGGCCTTAATAGATCGAATACGGTTTCGGGGATATTAATGTATCATAAATACGGAGCCCTAAACCATAATAGCACTAAATGTTCCGAACCCCCATAGTATGGTTGAAGGCTTTTAGGGGTTTGGAAACCCTAAAGCTCCCTAAACCTTAAAACCCTAAACCCTAAACCGTAAAACCCTAAATCCTAAACCTTAAAACCTTAAACCCTCAACCTTAAAATCCTGAACCCTAAACCTTAAACCCTAAACCCTAAACCTTAAAACCCTAAACTCTCAACCCTGAAACCCTAAACCTTAAAACCCTAAACCCTAAAACCCTAAACCTTCCGGGAAAGCTGCAGGTGCAGTAGATCTGCGTGGACACCGTGTCGCGTCGCTTCCTGTCCTTGCATGGGTCACAACCCGACGCCCTAAACACCGTTTGGGTTTAGGATTTTTTTTTACGGGCTCTTTTGATTCCAGGGTTTAGGGTTTAGGGCTTAGGGCCCAATCCCTGAACCCTAAACCCTCACCCCTGGACCCGAAACCCTGAACCCATGCGAAGCCTGCGAACTGGGGTCTGCATATAAAAACCGGCAGTAGGACACAAGAAGAAGACCAACCCCAAAGGCACCTCCTGTTTAGGATGTTAGGTTGGGGCCTCAGGGTAGGGGTCCCCCGAAAAGATCCTACCCTTCGCGGCCGAAGTTACTCCTAAGCCCTCAACCCTAAATCCTAGACCCTAAATCCTAAATCCTAAACCCTAAACCCTTAACCCCAAACCCTAAACCTTCATCACTATGCCCTAAACCCTAAACCTTTCACCAACAAGATGTAGCCAGCCTGGGAAACCCCCAGACTGGGGATCGAATCGGAAGTGCTCACAGTCTCAAACATCGCATTGCAAGAGATTCATACTAGTATAGGGGGGTTTAGGGTTTAGGGTTTAGGGCTCTTAGGGTTTCAGGGCTTTCGGGCTTTAGGGTTTTAGGGTTTAGGGCATAGGTTGTAGTGTTTCAGGGTTTAGGGTTTATGGAAATAGCTTGAATAGGGTTCCTTTTAAGGGTTCCTTGAAGGGGTTCTGTATAGGGTTTAGTATAAGCGGCATTATGGGGGGCTTAGTGAAGAGGCCTTCATACTTGGAATACGGCTTTGGGGGCTCCTTTATGGTACACCAGAATGATCAGGAGCCCTAAGTAATAATGTTGGTCGCTGTTTATGCTTCTACGGTAAGTATCGAGTATATGAGCATATGAGTAGCCGCTTGTGGTGATGAGCTACTCTTAGAGCTGATTATGCCTGTGATCGTCTTAGGGGCCGAGTACCCTAGCCCAAAAAAAGGTTAACCTTGCAATTATGGTAGGATTATATAAGCCCAAAAAGGTTAAAGTTTACCTACTCAGCTACTAAGTCGTAGTTGCTAGTAAGCATTCACCAAGGCCCCCCCCCCACGGTCACCCGAAGCAATCAACACAGCGAATTTCAAAATTTCTCAACTCGTAAATCCCCAAGATAACACTACACCGTGAACCCTGCACACTTCTACTCCGTCTGCTCCCATGATCGCTCTAACCTCTTCGCACTTACCCCAAAGTGTCGTAGACCGCGTGCTCCGGTGTGAGGGCAGGAGGTTCCGGGCCGAATCCGCCGCAAATACCTAGCGGATGCTCTTCTGGGGAATGGAACTGATGACCGCAGTCAGAATAAAACGGCAGTTGTCGCAAATACCATGCGATGAAGATGTTGGGACGACAACAGTCACGAAGACAAGACCACTTCAACAGCAAAGCAGCAGCAGCAGCAGACGCAACAGAAGCCGGAGCACCGACAACAGCTACCAACCCCGGGGTTACAGCTTAATCTGAAGATTCTGCTTCCCGAAACCCTTAACCCTGAATCATATGGGGGTTTCCGAAAATAGGGGACCCTAATATAGCACCCTAAATAGTAGGATCCTTATTATAAGGACCCCAAAATAAGGTACCCCTAACTTTCGGAAAGTCCCATATTCTAAGAGCTCGGAGGTCTGCAGCAAGAGCTTCACGAAGTCGAACGAAGGATGATCGAAACATTCCGGAACAGTTTGGGCTCGAGAGTTTAGGGTTTTAGGGTTTGGGGTTTAGGGCTTTAGGGTTTAGGGTAGGTCAGTCGTGTCAGGGTCGGGGTTTCAACTTTGATGTGCGGGCGTTCCTGAGCTTCAGGGCCACTCTGGATTCAGCGAGCTTAGTTGTGACTGGCAGTACCCATAGGCCCCTAAGTAGTTCCTTTTTGGGATTACCTTATGGGATTCTAAATATCAACCACAAGAAGGAACTACTTAGGGGCCTATGGGTATTCGCAAACTGCCAAAGGCGGCTGCGGCCAAGCTGCTTGCGTGCTGATTGATGGAGAAAGCACAGATCCTCATGGCACGAAAAGACAGTGTTGCATCGGGTTTAGGGTTTAGGGTTTAAAGTTGCCACGGGAATGGCCTCGACCCATTCTGCCCTAAACCCTAAACCCTAAACCCCTAAACCCTAAACCCCTAAACCCCTAAACCCTAAACCCTAAACCCAGAGGCACCAATCTCGATTGGCGCTGATTTGAAGTCGTGGCCGGGGCGCCGAGGCCCCTTCCCGAGCCAGCTCCCGAATCCACAACCCACACAGAAAGCTTTGCAGACCCGGAACCCGAAACCCGAAACCCGACCTCCTTGCAGTTGGGAACCTCGAACCCTAAACCCTAAACCCTGAACCCTAAACCCTGAACCCTAAACCCTAAACACTAAACCCTAAACCCTAAAAGGTCGAGCCCCAAAGGCCAGCCCCAAAGCAAAAACGCATCGTCAGCCAGAGAGCCAGATGCGAAGATCTTGGCACCTCGCCTGCCCACAGGAATCGGCTGACTTCACGGGACCGCAACCTACTGTAGGGGCCTGAATAATTAGAATAGGGTTTGGGGTATATTATACTACATAATTACAATAAGGAACCCCCCAAAACCCTATTCTAGTTATTAAGGCCCCTACAGTAAGTACATGTTTTGTAGGATCTGCTTGTGGGCCCCAAATTGGAGTTCGACCCTACAGACAAGTAGGGCTTGGTAGTTCACAGCATCTTAATCCCGGGAGGCAGTGCTGGGTAGCTTTTAGGTTGAAGAAGGTACTTCAAGGTACATGTTGCCAGGATTCGTTTCGTCTTTCCTAGAGTCAAAAGTCCAAGGCTCTGGCTGATACTTCAACGTTTTTCGGCTCCCTGCATCCTACGGTTGATGATATAAATCCTGCATTACCCCATAATAAGGAATATACTATAATTCCCATAGTTTAGGGTCCTTAAGTTAATGCAGGATTTATATCATCAACAGTAGCACCCACCAAAACTCCCCGCGTCGGTCTCTGCCCGTGCCTGTCAGATAAAGACCCCTCCCCCATGGAAGAAAGGGGAGTACCTGGTCCCCAAAAGTATGTAGAATAATAGCTTATTTTACCTACTTTGGGGGGGGGGGTTAGGTAAACCTTGGCTCAGGCTTTCGGGGTTTAATAAAGGTACCTCAATGATTAGGGTTAATTAAGGAGGTGGTTTTGTGTAATTAGAATGACGGGCGCTTCAAATTGAAGGGGGCGTTTTGGGCTAATTCCTGAACCCGAAATCACGGTAAAACACGGGCCTGAGCCTAAAAACCCTAAAGCCCGAAATCCTAAGCCGGCCCTTCATGCTTACTCACAGCAGGCGAGCATAGAACCTCATCATCCCTATAAAAGCGCTTTCATATATTGCTCTTATTATGAATATTTTCTGTATTATTCTTTGGTATTATTAGTTTTTATTTTTTGTTATCAACCCTCCCAAAAAAAACCTACATTCAGATAGCTAGGGCGCCCGGGCCTCGATACACCGATTTTTCAGAGCCTGGATGCCCCGGGGGTTTTCCATCACCCGCAGAACCTTCTCCTGGAATCGGGCGCCGAAGCCGGGCGTTTGAGGACGATCTTGGGGGGATAAGGGACTAGGGTTTAGAGCCGTGTGGGGTTTAGAGTTTCGGGTTTCCCCCTTAATACCCAAACAGTTGAAGCTTCTAGCTTTGGGTCCTGATGAGCGTGGCATCCCCTAAACAAAAAAAAGGGACTCGATGATGTTGCGTCCCGGTGTGGGCCGCGGAAAAGTCTGGGGAACAGCGACACCCTCAACCCTAAACCCCTAAAGCCTCAACCCTAAACCCCTAAACCCTAAACATAAACCTAATAGTCATAGGCTTCAGCTGCTCCGCGTTCAGATGCCTCAAATGAACTTTGCATTTTCTTTAGGGCTCAGGGGTTTAGGGTTGAGGGGGGTGGTTTCGGGCTGAGCGTATGGGCCGCTGCTGTTCTAGGGTTTGGGGTTTAGGGTTTAGGGTATAATTTTGGGGGTTTAGGGTTTAGCTTATAATTTTTAGGGTTTAGGGTTTAGGGCATCATTTTTTTGGGTTTAGGGCATCATTTTTTGGGTTTAGGGCATAATTTTTTGGGGTTTAGGGTTTAGGGTTTTAAGGGTGCTCCATGCCGAAATCGCTCAAAGCTTGGCAGCCACTGCTCTGAGGCTTCAGGTGCCTCAGCACATGGCTACGGGCCGCACCTAAAGTTTGCAGTGATGGGGTAAGGATCCCCACCCACAGGCTCCTAAGTAGTTCCTTTTTGTGGCCTATATTTAGAATCCTATTAGAATCCTAGAACGTCATCCCAAAAAGGAACTACTTAGGGGACTATGGGTATATTTAGTTTTTAAAGCTGGAGATGATACGTTCTGCAAATTTCGGAACCTCTGCTTCCAAAAGATAGACCCCTGACAAGCTTATCAGTACAGTGTCCCCTAAACCCTAAAGCCTAAACCCTCAAGCCTAAACCCTAAAAAACCCTAAACCGATGACGAGATTCGGGGGCTCAATTAGGCCGTGCAACTTTGCTTTATAGGGCCTCCCTCACATCAATCAGGCGTGCACCTGACGGCTGCATCACACCTGGATTAGAAACCCCGGTGCGCAAGCAGAGGCCGCGTTGGAAGCAGAAGAAACCCCGAAGATTCGGTACCCTAAGCCCTAATCTTAGCAATTCAGGGTATTATGAGGATCATTATGGTTGTTATATTTTGTACTACTTACCACAATTATTGTTATTACTACTACTAAACCCTAAATCCCTCAACCTGATATTGGCAGTCGGGTCTGCACAGTGGACACAATGATCCGAAAGCTGTTCGCACGACTCCCAAAGCTGCTGGAAGGAGCTCTGCATCCAAAACGAAACCCGGGCTTAGGGTTTAATGCGAATAGGGAGGAGCCAAACGGCCTAGCACCATGAAAGAGAGAGAGCGAGAGACAGAGAGAAACAACAGAGACCCTAAACCCTAAACCCTTAGCTCTAAACCCTTAACCGAAACAGCAGAGAGAGAGAAGTGCGGAGATTTCTTCGGAGGGCGGGTCAGAACTTCTTCGGCTCCTGTGCCCCGGATGCTTGGCGAAGGGGTTTAGGGTTTAGGGTTTAGGGTTAGGGGATGATTGTTGCTGGTACTTTTTTCCACCCCTGTTTGAGAGCTGTTGCATTGCTCGCACTGTGGCTCTGAGTTAGGTTCCTTTCGCAGCCAGTACGACCATTACAGCTAAGGGCTCGGAAATTACTTGACAATCAAGCTTCGAAGGTGCAATGACCCAGCGCAGCTGCAACGGTTGCTGCCACCAGATGCGCAAAGAGGTTGTCCCAGTTGTGGGTGATCATGACCTGCTATAGTTTAGTATGTTATGCTGTAGAATAGTAGGTATAATGAGTATTACTAAGGATGCAGGTCTCTTTATGGCAGCCAAAGTGGGAGAGGGGTTAGTTGAGGGCTTGCAACAAAAAGCTGGCGATGCAAGCCCGGAAAAAGCCTAAACCCTAAACCCTGAAACCCTAAACCCTCAACCCTAAACCCTAAGCCCTAAACCCTAAAACCCTAAAACCCTAAGACCCTAAAGCCTCACCGCTGCAATGCTTGGGTTTAGGGTGGCTTAGGCTTTCGGGTAAAAGGGCTCCCCAAAACCCCCGAAACCCTGAAATCTGAGACCCCCAACTCCTCTAACCCCCCCAAACCCTCCTTGGGTCTTCGGAGCACAAAACTCCCAACCTCTTTCCCGTTTTAGGGTTTAGAGTTTAGGGTTCGGGGTTTAGAGTTTAGGGTTCGGGGTTTAGAGTTTAGGGTTTAGGGCTTAGGGTTTAGCCCCCCCCTCCCCCCCCCCCCCCCCCCCCCCCCCCCCCC